TCTAAATGTGATATTATTTATCCTGCATGCACACTTTGCTCCTTGAACATCTTATTTGGTTCCTTTATTTTATTATTTAATCTCTTTCATTATTGAAAGAAACCAAAATATTTCAACGACCAAATAGTTCGGTATTCAGCTTGCAAATGGTAGAAGTTTTTTTGTTTTAATTTGGCTTCGGATGGGTAAATCTAGAGGCAAAAGAATCCTGCAAAGTATTTCCACTGAGCTTGGGCCACACCCAAAATCCAAAATTTTTCCATCAATGCTAGCTGCTACCTCTCAGACAGGCTTGGAATTTTGTTTAAAGTGCTCCTCCCCTACCTTTACTCCTTAAAAAGCTTTCTGGACAACCTACTGTTGACAATTTCCAGCAACATGGAGCAGGATCTGAGCTCTAAATGTAGTAAAGTGTAGTGGTTATTAGTTCTAAATTAGCAAATTGCCTATCATCGCATTCTCTTTAACAGCTCTAGGTCCTTGAGAAAATCCTTATGAAACTAGTTCCCTTACCTGTAAAATGAACACAATAAAATATTTACCTCAAAAAAACTGTTGAAAGGATCATACTTGCATACTTAGCACAGTACTTAGTGTGAGGTAAGTACTCACATTTGTTAAGTGCACATACACACACACAAACACACATTTATTGCTATTGTACTCCAGTGAATTCCCACAAGATTTCCTTTGTTCAGAATGCCTATATTTTGTAATATCCTTGAAAACCCTCATTATACTTGGCATATTTATTACTCAAAACCCTGCATATTATGTAAATGATTATACCATCTAACTGGCTTCACAGCAAAGAACTTATCTGCCAGTTGGCATTAGGGATGGCCCCATGATGGCTGTCTAATCAAAAATTTATTTCTCCTCATTGGCAAATATGAAAATTCTGACTATCAGTATAATATGACCTTAGTGGAAGGCTCAAAGGGGCAACTCACAAAGAAGCCCGATGATGAGTAGGCCTTCGAAGAACATCAGATTTTATGCATACAGAAGCTTCTCCCAACTATAGTGCTAGGATAAATAGATGTTTTATTACTAAAAGAAAAAAGAAAAAACAGATTTTAAGGGGAAATGAGCTTCAGAATATCTATGTTAAGTGAGGTTAAATGGTTTTATTTGGGGCAAGTTTTCTTAGGGATTTGAATGGGTTATGTGTCTTGTGACATCTGGGAGGATGATCAAAAACTTAAAATAATGCCAAACAAGGACCAAGAGTTCAATCAATGTTTACTGTTATATGATGAGTGAAGTGAGAGCAAAAGGAGAAAAAATTGACAGCTTCCTATGTTGGGACTTACCAGGAAAAATATCAAGAATTATTAAGGCCAGCATTGAGAGGTGACCACCTCTCATACAGTAAGATATGTTGGTCTTTAGTTATTGATAAATTGTCTCCAGGGAAGAAGATCTGCTCCTACATATTCCATAAGCAAAATTAAAATCTCAAAACTGTGACAGTTTCCTTTCTCAGGTTGATGCATTTTGAAGTCACTCATATAGGTTTATTGATATGACTAGCTACCAAAATCCCCTGGGAAATCTCATTGAAATAAGCAGTGATCAAAAGCAAAGATCCAAATTTTCTTATGAAAAAGTCTCTCTCATTTCGATAATCTCTGACTGAAGAGAAATCCAAAAATCACTGACACACTAATCAGTCATGTGCCTACAATCTACCATATCAACTTTCTTCACAGTCATTTCTCTCATTTTCATTTACATTAAAATAGTTCTTTAGCCAGCATGCAAGAGACAAATGTTAAAAGCACACAATCTATTCCCCCTAGTAGAATAATCGAGAATTTTCATTCTCATGGTCAAACAGTATAATTGTGGACACTTTCCTAATACAACTCTTCTGTCCTTTCTTAGTATTTTGTCCTGTATATATTCACTGGATTAAGTGTGCACTAGGGAAACTCATTTCACCAAACGTGATTATTTATAATAATGACATTTATAATTCATAACATAATAGTATGCAATATACTATTACATTTATCAAATGTAATGTTCTTTCAAGCCAAGAAGAGAAATTTATGTCAAATTTATTTAAATACATACAAATCACCATATAATTGAAACAAAATTATTCAGTTAACCAAAGTGTTTAAAGCAAAATATAAGAGAATATAAATAAACCTCTCTTGCTAAGAAATACTTATATGTAACAGAACAAGGCTGTCAAAAAGTACACAGAATATTTTAATCAATATGCATTATGTTGATTTCTTCCAAATTCATCATTTATAATACTAGAAAAGGAATAAAAAAAAGTTGTCTCTATTTTCTTTTCTACCTATTAACCAACCAGTTAATTATTAAGCAAAGTATAATGTTTCAACTTGTTACAGTGCAAGCATTTTCTTTCCTTTGTTAGAGAAAGGTAAACAATAAGAGGGGAAAAAATTAAATATGTATGCCAGAGGACAAGAACTTGATTACAGTTCTAATCCTTATTCCCCTTCTAAGGATTAGAATCCTTATTCCCCTTCTAAGGATTAGAATGGTAAATAAGTAATGGCTAAGTAAAACCAACTTGTTGATTTCATTTAAGTATTTTAAATGAAAAATTCAATAATTCAACAAAACTAATGCAATTTACTTTATAAGAGACCTCATATTCTCGATATACTGTTAATTCTAAAACAACAGAAGAAGGTATAATGTATTTTACTATATAAAATCAAAATAAATGCCATCTAGCAAAGATTTTAAAATGTTCACTTTAAGGTTAATGCTCTAAGTATCACCAGAGTTCAATAAAAAGAGCATAAAGAGGTAGAGAAATAGAAGATGCATTCGGTAGATGAGAGACTGCATGAAAACCAATTTAGAACATCTTTCATTAAACGACTATTTGACTAAACTGAAGAGAAAAAAAAATCCTTAGTCTTCAACCTTTTTGCCAAGAATGATTAATAGAAGAATCTAATAATTATGCTGCTTATTGGGGTGATTTTTTTGGCTGACCTACATATTAATGCAGAGGAAAGACACTTCACTATCAATAAACTGCATAGCACTACACCAGACTTCTCATCTGAAAATATTTTTTAGCCATGTAAGGAAAAATGTAATATGGTACCCCTAAAACGGTAATTAGATGAACTATTTTCTTCTCATTTTAATGATGAATTAAGGAACTGTGGTGATAACAAATGAGCAGAATTATACTTTTTAAATCCTAAATTTTCTTTAGTGTTTTCAATCACAGTACAATGAATCATACTTCACCAAGGCATCACCAGATTGGGGTCTTGCATGACAAAACAACATAAGTCCTTCAAAACCACTTCTTAGAAGTGATACATTCCATTAAAAGTGTCCCATGGATTATAATAATCTACTTCTTAAAATATAAAATAACCACATCCATCTATGGTAAGTCATATGAGAAACCATTTTGAAAGACAGGCTACTAAAAAAATCCCTTTGCTAAAGTCATATACAAATATTAATAATGTACCTTCAATGATGAGGAAAAATAAAAATGTTCCAAAAATTATATAAGAATGCTATTTGAGATCACAAATGAATTACATGGGCTATCTTTTAGTAACTTTTCTAAAATTCATTTAAGAAATCAACTACAGTAATGGGTAATCTAAGGCCAGACATTCTCTGTGGGTTTCATTTATCCCTGAGCACTTTACTATGGTATCTAGAGTTTTAAATACTTTGGATTTCAGACCTGGCTCTACTACGATCATATAAAGTGTTTATTTTTCCAATTTGACAGATTAAGGAAAAGAGGTTAAATACCTTGTATAGGTTCACTGTAATATTAAGTGGCAGGGTTTGGATGTATACCCAGGGACATCTGGTTTTAATTCTATATACTATGCACACTAAACCACCTAATCTATGAAATAAAATTGGTATTCTAAATAACTTTCAGAAATGTATTTGATTTTTAGACTAACAAAAACAAATTTATTTACAGGCTGAGTGAGTGATACAATGTGGTATTATATTTACTGATCCTCAAGTTAGCAGAAAGAAAGATTGGGGTAAGGATCTGCCATTCACTGGCTACATAAACTTGTCCTTTCATTTCATTTCTCAACCACTCAGTTCTTTTGTAGAATGAGGAGCGAAGAGTTTCAACAATCTCCAGATCCATTCCATTTACAAAATGAGAACCACACAAGGGTGTGGTATCCATGTATGCACCTCTGATAGCCACCTCAATATTTAACAAAACCTAGGGGGTTATTCCCCAAACTACAATTTTAGGGGAACATTTTCTTTTTTTTTTTTTTTCTCTGAATTCATTTATTTAGGAGAACACAGCCATTCAAAATTGTGGAATACAATATTAACACAGAATAAAGTTGGGGAATTAAACTTAATTGTTATGCTCCATTTGCATTAATAAATATTTTTAAGAAGCAAAAGTACATTTTAAAAGCTTTGTTAGATAATTATACAAATTTCTAAGAGTTTTTAATCTAAATTAACTGTCACATTGCTTGATTTTTCAAGGTGAAAGATTATAATAACATATATTTCARTTGCCTGGCAGTAAATACAAAAGCAGTTTTAAACATCTGTTGAGCTGTGTAATACATTACTGTAAGCAAGAGTTTATAATAATCCATCATTCTGGCCTTAGTTTATGGATAGAAAGCATGCTGGACAGTAGCAACACATATTACATAAATTATCCAACATTAATATGATACAAAATCAATTATGCATGTAATTTAAATAGAAATTTCTTCAATGTCAGGATGCTAAGCAATTTTGGTGGACTTAGAATTTCTCAGCTTTGTCATTAATATTAATAATCAATTGGAGCTATTTATGTCTTTCAGTTTCTTCAATTTTCAAATGAGAACTTGACTAGATTTTATCAATGTATTATCTTCTGAAGCCAAGTATTTTGTAATTTCTGCTCTATCAAAAGTTTCCCACTTTTGAATTGCAAAACTTCCTAAGTTCCAACAACTTCCTTCTAATCCACTTTTTTTAAAACATTGTCTAAATCCTTCGGCATTCCAATTTAAACCCATACTTCGAGTGATTTTATAATGACCAAAACAAAGTTCATTTTGTTGAAGAAGGACATCATATCTACCCAAGGAAGATAACAATCTCTAATCTCACTGAGTATTCAATACCACCACCAACCATCTGACTTTTTTCTTGAAGGTTCTATGCCTCAACCTCCATCCATAATCTACACCACTGTCCACTGAATATACCCTTCTTGTGCTAAGTTCTCTACTTTTATACTAATGGTAAATCTTAAATGAATTTGAGTGACCTGCATTTTTAAGACAACTAACCATGTAAGTGAACTTGTTTATACAATTTTAGAATAACTATGTTCTTCATAGTCTCCCATAAGGCAACACATAAAATATTTCAAAAGGCAGCCATACACATTTACTTTTATGCTTTTTCTAAAACAGCTTAAGGAAGGTCTAGCAAACTTTTAAAAGCAAACTGACAGTTTTGTTTTTACTTTTAATTTCATACTTAGAGCAGAGAGAGATAAGCCTACCAATGTCCACTTTATTAATAAAATCACCACCATTATTCATAAAACTCTGCCTTTACAACTCACTCTAATTCACATGATCAATGCACGTGGCAAAATATAATGAATAAAACAGCAAGCAATAAAATCTAATTCATGCCAGAACAATACCAGAGAAGTTACACAGGAAGCACACACATACACAATTTACAAAAGTTGGGAATACTGTTAATTTCAAATAAATGATGACCAAAGTAGGACTTTCATGCCAGAAGTCCCATTCAATCAAAATCACGATTTGTAAGAACAAGTGGTGCCACTAGTGTCCAAACATACAGCACGATGCCAATCCAACTAGAAGATATTTTCACCCAGACAGCAGTCCACTGACTTTTCATTGCATGAGAGGGCTCATACCTGTACCAGTTGGTAAGGGTCATCATGATATAAAGGGAAGCCAGGAAAAGCATGAAGTGAAAGAAGGAATAACTGTAAGTGACACCATCCCTTTCATTATCTATAGCTCGGTGAACATCATCACCATCCTCCAGTGATCCATCACTTCTGGCTCCACCATCTTCTATTAATGTGGATTCGTCACTTGTTAGAGTCAGTTTATTAACCTGACTATTGTTTGAAGTACGGATGCTGTGTTAAAGAGATGACAAAAAGTAAATGATTTTTTCAAAAGTGATTCCTAAATCAATAGCTTGACTTCCTATTTAAAAAATTAGTTTTTCTTACCTTGAATAAAACACACACAATAAAAAGAGGATTAGTCCTATAATTCCTTGAGCATGCCACCACTGGAAAGACTGCCCGTCCTTTGGGATAGAGCTTGTGATATTAAAGCCAATTATGCTTAGTAGACTTGGGTTACAATCTGTTTCTGGCTCATTGGTCATAGCAGACCAAGTCAAATACATTGTATAGATTGTAATTACTGAAGACTGTAACAAACCAGATCTTGGTTGTGACTCCTGGATTTTTGGCAGAATAGACATTATAGAAGCACCAATGCAGAGGAGCATATTGACACTGATGAATGCCTTATTTTCTGAACAACTGGCTGGATGAGTATAGTAGACAAAGAACAAAACGATGGCTACCAAAGACAGCAGATAATTCAGAGCTGTAGCTGATAATAAGGCTGCATACCAACATCTCGAGTTCCCTTCTTCCATTTTTTCAACCCATGATTCATTCCATGAATGGGCAAAATCAATAAGTAAGACTAGCTGTATGAGGATGAAACAAAAGGCCCCTGCCATGCCTACATAAAACCATACTGAAAGAAAAAAATAGCATACATATAAGTGAATTTAGTTATTATTATTTCCTTTCACAATCTCAGTACACAAAAGGGAAAGTAGAATTTAAAGCCTTGATTTTGCAACTGGGAAAAAAAAGTAAACAAAATGAGTTACAGAGCTAAGTAACAATTATTATTTCAGTTTTATTCATAAAATATCATACCAAACAACAACAAAAAATTCTTACCAGTTGTAAAAGTTCCTTCTGGAATGAAGAATGCCCCAATAATAATTGCAATTGCTGCCGCAAATTTAAAGAACCAGAATCCATTATGTATTGCAGCTCTAGGATCACTGCTGCTCTTCACTTTGATCATTAGCAAAGAGAGGAGAAGATAGAACATAGCCAAGCCAAAGCACAAACGATATACAGCTTTATAGCCAACCAGAATACCACAAGGAACAACACCTTTCTCATTCTCACAAAATCCAGGAATCTTATTTAGTTGTTCTTCCATTCCTGGTATCAACATTACACAAGCTACACATACTCCAACAAGCAAAAAAAGTGCATAGATCAATCTAGTCACTGTGGAGTTGTTTCCACTAGGACAGCATCGGCACAGCAAACATGGGGCACTACCACACAGACATGGTATCCAGCTCGCCATGGAGCACAGCCCCAGAACACTGCCCATCTTCACAGCGTCGCAAGAACTGAGAGCGCCGACAAAATGGAGACCTAGGGGAACATTTTCAAAAACAAAAATCAGGAAAAAAGTGCAGTCAGTTGTATAAAATGGATGTTGTACAAAGGGATAAGGTAGAAACTACAGAACCAAAATCCTAGCATCACTGGAGGAATCAAACCCTGGGCCTTTTTTACTTCCTGCAATAGGTAAACCCATGCTCGACACAGGCCAATCCCAAGCCCAGAGTGATCCTAAAGGGATCTACATCTTAATAAAAAATCGGTTTGTCTGTTTGGGGGGGAAAAAACAAACAAACAATGGTTCCATTACTCCTCTCTGCTTTCTGAAGCTTGAGAGTGAACCTCACTTGGAATAGCACACCAATAAGTGAATTCTTCATTAAACTTGAGGCAAAGAAAATAGGAGGAAAGAGAAAAACAAAGAGAAAGAAGAAAAAGCAGAGAAGTTGGAAGAGAAAGAAAAAGAAAGAGGAAAAGTTATTAAGTGGACTTATAAAGAACATACCCAAGTTTTCCTTCTCAATATGAGTAGAAAAGAGACTTAGTACACTCTTCCCAAAGAATAGGATTATATACTCATCCAATTCCAAGTTAAACAAAAAAGCAATTTGTTTTTACTCTCATATATTTCATAGCTAACATTTACTACGGTAAGGGAGGAAATGCATTATATGATATTATCAAATAATTTTTTCCCCTTTGGAGTTGGAATGTGGAAAAACAAGCACATTCTGCCATCCATGTGGAAGAATTTTCCCCCTGATTTAAAATTTTTTGTTACACCCAAATTTTCCCATAGCACTCAATACTAAGGTCAACTTCTATTTTCACAAACACTAGGAAGGCTGAATAATAATCACTAAAAGTTTAAATTCCTCTCTAGAAACAATTCATTTAGACAAAACAAAGGGAAAAAAATCATGGAAACAATGGAAAGTATAGTACATTCAACATCCTGATAAGGTAGGAACACAAATAATAGAATATTTCAGTGATGAAGATAACTGAAAAACAAACTACTCTCTGAGAAAAAGGAATAAGACTTAATGAAGTAAAGGATATGAAGGGAAAACTGACACATTTTGATGACTGAAATGAGCAGACACAAATTAAAAAAAAAAAAAAAAGTCTTGTATCAGACATAAGCAATCAGCAACCAATAGAAGAATCTCTCTGCTCTATGTGTCCTCTCTATTTTTACTGGATATCTAAAAGCTCCCTCATAACACAAATAAACACTTAAGTCCTCTTGAGAACATCTGTTGAAAATTTGAGTGTGTCCATTCATTTACACAGCCTGTTCAAAGTGCCCACTGTGTCAGACACTGAGCTAGGTGTTGTGGGAATAGTCAATGTTCACATGACATCTCTTTGCCCCAAGAGCATGAGAATGGGTCTTGTAAAGACATGGCTGAGGTCCTCAGCTTCACTGCAGAAGTCTGATGTGTTGCATTTTATGGTATTGTACTCAAAAGTTTCCTATTTCCTCATTACGTCTAGGAAGTATAATATTCAAACAACTGTTTAAAATGTGGGCTCACAGAATAAGGAGAAAATAAATGAGAAAAAAATTCCACAGTAAGAATAAAATTACAAATGCACCAACTTCAGGACAAATACAATAGTCACAACTTAGTGCTTAATAGAAATACTTGAGATACCAAAAGACTATTTAAAGAAAATCTAAATGTAGTAATGAAATTACATACAGTAGAGTATTACTGGCATTTCCATTAATATACTAGTACAATTTCCTCAGTAAGACTCATTAAACATTTGGGGGACATTTCCAACACATACTTAGTTCCTTAATGACATCACTAAATTTATAGCCTGATTCTTCCTCTACTTTTCATCCAAGAGACTAGCCTACCATGAGTGACACACGTACAAAATTTTAATAAAATATTCTCTCCTCTCCCAAAGTATTTTCCAGAACTGTGAATATTGCAGATATATATTAAGCTAAAAGTAAAGATCCAGAATATTATTTTCCCAAGTAAGCTTCTGAATCAGATTTTGAAAATTAAATTAAGAACTAGCATGAAAACAAAGACAAAAGGGAATTAATTTCTTCTTTAAAAATAATTAGATTGTGATAATAAAATCTCACCATTAAGCTCAGTACACATGCTCTGTTTCATCTACCTTTCAGTAGACCAGCCCATAAGCAAAGGTCACTTACAAGTTATTTCCAAAGAGAAATTAAATCATTTTATTCTGAACTTTCAGTGGTGAAAAATAAAAACTTTATTCCCAGAAGCTCCATTTTCCTTCAATTAAAGCAACCTTAAAAGTAGTCAAGCCTACAACGAAATGAATATTCAAAACATGTTACAGCCTTCAGTACTGTCACTAAGGAGAGGCTGCTTAACAAATTATATTCCATGTAACAATGCAGACTGATTTTCTAAATGTATTCTTTAAACTGCAAAACGAATAAGTCAAACTCAAAATCAACAGTCCCACATTTCCTTCATTAACAAGATATACAAATGCATGACTTCATAGCATTAAGAATGAAACTAACTTCACATGTAATGTAGCCAAATGAATGTTATTGAACATCCATAATGATCATTTTCCATGAAGTTAAATACTTAATCACAAGGTTTGATTAACATGCTCTGGTTTCTTGCATGCCATGTCATCATTATAATCAGAAAACTGGAAGAAATTTTCTTCAATTAAGTATAAAACAGATGATCACACTCAGGAAAAAAAGTATGTCTCGTTTCCAGTTACAAAATTATGCTACAAATACATATGAATATTCACACCTAAAGGAAAGCAGATGATTCAATGGCCTAATGTTTACAACAGACTTGAATATTTTCAAATCCTCTTGGAAAGGTGTAGAGAATAGATTTATAAAATAATTTTATGAGTATACAATGCTTTGTTTTGCCTGATTATTCAGTACTGGGGATTGAATCCAGGGGCACTTAAACACTGAGCCACCTCCCCACTCCTTTTCGATTTGTTTTGTTTTGTTTGAGACAGGGTCTTACTAACTTGCTTCAGGCCTCCCTGATTTGCTGAGGCTGCCCTTGATCTTGCAATCCTCCTACTTCAGCCTCCCAAACTGCTGGGATTATAGGCTTGCACCACCATGCCCAGCCTGATGTTTTGTTTTTTACAATTTCATAACAGCATGTTTGGGGATTTTGGTACTTTAGTTTGTTTGTTTGTTTGTTTGTTTTCTTTTTGCCTTGTTTCCTTTAATTAACAGTGAAAACTATAGTCAAGTGAGAGATGTGAAATTAACATATTCCTTTCTCACAGAAACATTTCAACTTCTATTTTAATTTATTTCTTTATAAACAAACTAAAATATAATCTAACAAATATATGTTATTAACACTTGTTTTATTTAACATAATTACTGAAGCTTTCAGCTGGAGATCAACAGGTTTGAATTTAAAAGAACTAGTTTTTATGATGTTCAAAGTAGAATATACTTATCTGGATATAATCAGAATTATGGAAACCCCTTTTTTCTAGTTTAATTATTCTTTTTACCTATTACGTGACAATGAAATATTTCTGTTATTTTTCCAAATTCCCATTTTGCCTAAGGATAGCATCTGTTGATCGATGGCTCTCTTAAACAATCTCTGTCAATAATTCACTTACACAGTCACACACATACATAATAATTCATATTAAATTATGGCAGGTATGAAACAGATTGTCCTCCTTGAACTAAACCATGAGAAGTCCAAGTATTCTGTTTTGAATCACTCTACATCAGTCTTGTAACAGAAATTCCATTGACCAGGAAATTTCTGATGATCAAAAATAACATCAAGGAAAGACAGTAGAATGAATTGGACATAACTTTCCTATGTTCATATATGTATATAATACCAGTGAACTTCACATCATGTAAAGCTGTAAGAATAGGATCCTAATGAGAATAAGTTATACTCCATATATACACAATATGTCAAAATACACTGTACTGCCATGTACATCTAGAAGAAAAAATAAAAATCTTGAAAAAAATAATAACATCAAGAATTGAGCAATTCCAAGTAAAATTCATTCATGGTACAATTTGTTAAGAGACAGGTTTCCAAATTCCTCTTATATGATGACTTGCTTCTACAGATTCCAAGTTTCACATACATTTTCCATTAGTTGTGAGAGTTAGCAAACACTGATCACAATTTTACATTCTATGAAATCTGAAGTGTTGCGATAGAAAATTATCTGAAGACCATAAAAAAAACGGATATCGCAGTGCGACTTTCAAGGGATTCACACAAAATGACATGAAATACACAGCAGCCTCTGTAGCTCTTATATGTTACAGAACTAAATCAGTCTGTTCATATAACTTGGTTTAGTAAAATGATATCTTATATAACTATTGAAGATTTGCAATTCTATCAGATCTGATGTATTCTAGGTCACATTGCTTGAAAGTTTGTTTCAAAGAAAAAGCACATTTTGAGAATTAAAAGGCATTCTTGTTTGCTTCCCTTCACAGATGAAAAAATATATATATACATTTTCAAATTGGAATTTAAGTCTCATGATCATTTTACTAAAAAACAATAATATAAAAAATTATGTCAAGCATCTTGCTTTAATGAATACTACATTAAAAAATCAAACCCAACCATCAGCAATAAGTACATGGATAGAAATGTAAGGAATTCCCTAGTTCCCAAATGTCAAGTGTTATGGATGACTGCCAGTCACCAGAGTGGACACATCATAGTACATAATAACATATGCAACTCCAGAACATATGGATTGTACAAAAATAATACAGAATAGCATCAGCCCCAGTTACTTTTAAACAACTGCTTTATGAACAAAACACACTTCCCTTGGACAAAAATACATGTCCTAGTCACTATTGATGACTGAAAGCTCACATATGCTTTCTCTCCTAGACTGTGCTCTTAACATTGTCAAAACACATTTTAAAATAGAAGCTATCCAACCAACAGGAGACATCCAAATAATCCTTAATTTGTTTTTATTTTCTTATGAGATGTGTCTTATTGGAT